TGGCTATTATGAATAATTACTAATTAACGAACAAAGTTTTATGTATACCTGTGTTTTCAATTTGCTATATATTTAGTCATAGAATTGCTGAGTTATATGATAATGCTATGTTTAACTTATTGAGGAACTGCTAAACTCTTTCCTAAAGTGGCTGCTCTATTTTACATTTCCACCATCAATGCATGAAGGTTCCAGTTTTTCTACCCCTTTGCTTGTTATTTGCCTTCCTTCCTTCCCCATAAATTATAATCATTTTAGTGAGTGTAAAGTGGTTCCCATTGTGGTTTTGATATGCATTTCCTTAATGACTAATGATATTGAATGTTTTTTCATGTGCTTATTGGACTTTTGTAAATCCCCTTTGGAGAAATGTCTATTCAAATCCTTAACTCATTTTGTAATTGGGTTATTGTTTCTCCATTAGCTTTTAAAATGTCCTTGTCTACTAATTCTGTTACATATGTTATTTCAAGGTCTTTTCCAATTGATTGGCTTTTCCAACCTTTATGGATTGTAGTGTCTTTCTTCTCTGAATGTCTAGCAATTTTAAATTGAATGTCAAACATAGTGAATTTGACCTTGTTGGGTGCTGGGCATTCATTAGTTTAAAGAATAATCTTGCACGTTGTTCTGGATGTAGTTGTTATTTGGCAACATTTAATCCTTCAAGTCCTGCTTTTAAGTTTCATCAGTTTGGACCAGAACAACCTTTAGTTTAGGGCCAAATTTATTCCACTACTAAGACATACACATCTAAGCATTTCACCCAGTTCCCCGAAAATGCTGAGGTTTTTCTACTTTGGCTGGTGGAAACATGAATTTTTCTAGTCTTACGTGAGGTCTCTTTCTTATGATTCTTCCTTCTGCTCTTTTATATCATTCTTCCTCTTATAGTTTCCTTACATATACATTTAAATCATTTCTTATTTTTGTAGTTCTCCAGAGTGCTCTGTGCAGATCTTGCCCCTTTGGGGGCTTGTCCTGTGAACTCCAGCTACCAAAATCTCTCCAGACTCCCTACTCTGTTTTGTCTTTTAGAAACAAGCTCCTCTACAGATCATCCTCCTGCACAGCAGCCTGGAAATTCTCCCCAGATTTCGAGCTTAGCAATAGTAGAGTTCCATGGCTTGTTTTGTTGGGGACAGCAATAGCTTTCCAGCATTGCTTGATGTCTATTGTCTGAGAACTTTTATTCCATATATTTTATCTCCTGCTTTTTTCTTTACTTCTTCAAATGGGAAGGAAAATTCTATCTCATTACTCAATTTTGCCCAGGAGCACAAGTCTGTATTGATCTTTTAGAAACGTGTCTTTTTGACTTACCTTACTGGTTGCATTAGATATTACAACATAGATCTTTAAGTTATCACAGTTAATCTTCAAGTAAAATTATACTTTTAAACGGATGTTTAAGAAACTTAAAACTATATATTTCTATTCACTCTTCTGTGTTTTATCCTCTTATTGTCTTATATATTTTCTCTGCATGTGCTGTGTACCAGTTATACTGTTACTATATATATTTTAAACTGTTAATAGCCATTAAAAGGTTTCAAGAAGCTAACAAAAAAGGCTTTTATATTTGCTTAGACATTTACCCTTTTTGGTTCATTATTCCTTCCTATAGTTCTGGAATTTCATCTGGTTTAACTTTCCATCAGTTGTAGGAAACTTTCTGTGTTTATTTTTAAAATTGAGATTAGTTTTTCAAGACTGTGTGTGAATAAAGAAGCCTATTTTGTCTTGATTTTTGAAGGATATTTTCATTGTATATGGAATTATGTATTGACTGCCTTCTTTCCTTTTCAACACTCCTATTGATTTTGGTCACTACTGTTTCTAATGAGAAGATGACTGTTATTGTTGTTTTTTTTGTTGCTTTGGCTCCATTTAGGATCTTCTCTTTGTCTTTGACTTCACATATTTTCACACCTGTGTTATGTACAGTTTTCTTTGTATTTGTCCTTCTTGGGGTTGAGTTTTGAATCTGTGGGTCAATGTCCTTCATCAATTTTGAAAAGTTTCCAGCTATTTTGTTTTTAAATATTTCTTCTGCACTATTCTCTTTCTTCTGCTCCTAGGACTCTCATTACATGTGTTTTGGAACTTTTCATATTGTCTCACAGCTTTTCATCTTGTGCCACAGATGCTCGCTTTTTTATTTTTAACAATTCTTGTCTTTAAGTTTCATTTTTGTTAATTTATATTGATCTGTCTTCGAGTTCATTGGTCCTTTCCTCTGCCGTGTGCATTTTGCACTTAAGGTCTTCTCTTGGATTCTTTATTTTGATATAGTATTTCTACTTTCTAGTGTTTTCATTTGGTTGAAGAAATAATGTATTTTTTCTGTTATAATCACTTAGCTCCTAAAGCAGCAGTCCCCAACCTTTCTTGGCATCAGGGAATGGTTTTGTGGAAGACAATTTTTCCATGGATGGGATGGGAGGACTATTTCAGGGTAAAACTCTTTTACTTCAGATCATCAGGCATAAATTCTCATAGGGAGCACATAACCTAGATCCCTCACATGCACATTTTATGATAGGGTTCGTGCTTCTATGAGAATCTAATGCTGCTGCTGATCTGACAGGAGGTAGAGTTTAGGCAGGAGGTAGAGTTTATGCTCACTTGCCTACCACTCACCCTCTATTGTGTGGCCTGGTTGCTAACAGGTTGCTATACATTTTTCACAGCCTCCTTTAGCATTTGTATCCTAAATATCTTCAACAGCCAGTCTGATATTTCATCACCTGTGCTATCTCTGGTTCTGCTTTTATTAACTATTTCTTCTCTTGTCTGTGTGAGTCAATTTTCTTGCTTCTATGTGTATCTTGTAATTTTTGGTAATAGCATAGATATTTTGTATAAAAGAATAGTAAAGACTGAGGCAAACAATAATTACTGCTAGAAAAACACACTTTCTTCTATCAGTTTTTTAGAATGAAGGCCAAAACTAATCTGATTGGTTATTGAACTGGGTCTGGGCTTTGTTACAGCTTTAGTTTGTTTCACTCACTGCAGGCTTTAGTTATTTTGAGGCTTGTTTGGGATTCTCCCTTTTGCAGGATTTATGCTCTGGAACTGCCAATATTGTGGAGATCTTTTTATGAATTTCAATAGAGTTGACAGCTTTCCAAATTGTGTGAAAACTCTCTGCTTTATAGCCTGCCTGCCAGATTTATAAGTTGCTGGAGGGTTGTCTTTGCTCTCCAGTATAGCTCCTGAATTTTCATGGCTTACGAGTTGTTTTGTTTTTGTTTTTGTTTTTTCCCTACTGACCTGCCCAACCTTCTGAGGACAGGTTTATTCTTTAAAGCCTTGAAATGACTTGTGTTTTAAGATGTGTACAAGATATCTGGCATTTCTTCTGACCTTTGATGCCTGAGAACCAGTAGTGCCTCTGATGAATATCTTTTCGCTCTCTTGTCATGCTTCTTACCTTTGGAGGTGGGTTGCTTTGTAACTAGAGGAGGTACCATATACCTCATGGGTGATATTTTCTGACCTGTCCCAAGCTGTTGGCACACTATCTCTGAATACTCAGTGAAGACCATTGGAAGGATTTGGCAGGTAGATTCAATCTCACTCTGTACCTGGCATTCTTCAGAATATTAATCTGCATGCCAATCCATATACATCCTTACTTTTTTGTTTTGTTTTGTTTTTAATTTTAGCTGTATTCTTCCTATCCCAAACTATGGTGTGTTTTTCTTTATTTATTTTTCTTGTTTTTGTTTTTAAATCTTTTCAGAAGTCTTCTAGGGATGTGAACAGCTAAGATCTCTTCTCTCTTATAAAGCACTTGTCTTTTTCTGGAATTTAGTTAATTTAGGTTTCTTTGTGTCTTGAACTGGTATATTTGAAAAAATAAAAGTGATGTAGCTTACCTAGCTTGTTTCGTTTGTTTGAGAGAAAAACTTGTGACTTTCTACATCATAATCAGAGGCAGTAGAGTTGTATGATTAAAAAAAAAATTCCCTATTTACCATCCCTGACAATTTCAGCAGTTACCATAGCATAGAGAAATTCTAAGGGTGATGTTCGCTATGATAACTTCCATGTGATTGAACAGAACAGTTTTTCATTTCCATAAGACCATTCTGCAATTTCATTTTGGATTTCCTCTGGCTCCTAACCTTAACCAGCTCTTGGGACAGATAGAGTCATGTAGTGCTGATTCCTCCTAATTACACAACTCACATTTATGTGGTGCTTCTATAGGGATTCAACCATTTTTCCTGCTATAGCTCCCAATCCTGGAGCAGTATGTGCCAGGGAGCAAGCATTCAATAAACATTTGTTGAATGACTATTTGATCCTTAAATTTTCCCTGGAGATAGACAGAAAGGGGAAATAACTCCCATTTATTAAATGTTGATTTTCTGTTAGGAATTGTTCCACATATTTTATACACATTTAATCCTTAAAATACCTCCGTCATACATTATTATCAATGTTTTGAAGAATAGGAAACTGAGCTTTCAAGCCTGTTAATGGTAGGTCAGCTTTACTGGAACCCAAGTCAACTTTTAGTTCTTGACCTTTTCCATGCTACCACTCTGTTTCTCATAAAATGGCTCTTCCTATAAGAGAAAAGGAAAGAACCCAGGGTCTCTAGAAATCTTTCCCCTTAACGTAATTGAGACATCTCTCAACTCTAGTCAAAGTTCAATGTGTGTATCAAGGAAGAAATGGCTTTTGATGAGAATCAAATGAGATAATGTAGGGTTTTTTCTCTCCCTGTCTTCTTTTCTTAAAAATTTATTTTTTAAATTTTATATATAAAGAAAAATATTCACCCAGCTAATTTTCAAATTTTGATGGAGATGGGGTGTTGCTTTCTTGCCCAGGCTGATCTTGAACTCCTGGCTTCAAGCAATCCTCCTACGTTGGTGTCCCAAAGTGTGGGGATTGCCTGCATGAACCAATATGCCTGGCCTGAAACCAACCTTTATGTATATCAATACTCTCATCACTTAGTTAACTGTCTCAGGTATGATAATATCCCTTTATATATTTATCAAAACTCATACTAAACAATGAGTTCTGGGTTGCAAAAGAGGATTTATTTTTTTCACCTGTCTGTAAGACGTTATCCACAAGTTAAGGAAAAACATGCACAAGTGCAGTCTCTCGTCTTCTTAAGAGGGGAGCCAGCCTTCTTACCCCTGCCATCTTATTCTACTCCCAAGGGGAATTCTTGTTCAGCCAAAGATTCAGGCCCCAGAATCCCTTCTTGAACTCCCTGTGCTCAGATAATTCTCCTTGTAGAGTCAACGAATTGCTGGTCTTCCATCTTTGTTTCTGAAGCCCCACCTATCAAATCTCACAAGGCTACCCTTGTGGAGGTAGAGGATGAAGGATCTTTGGTGAACAAGACAACCTAAAATAAAAGAAATCTGAATTAGTCTATTTTTAAAAGAAATTTATTTTCATTTCTTTCAAATATGCAAACTACCGAGAACAAGATGAATAGTATTGTTCTTAAAGACCTTGCTTTGGTGAATAGCCAAATTAGATCTATAATTAGCACACCAATGGTGATTAAAAACAATTAAGTGGCTTAAATCGCTGCATCCCCTCCCTCATCTTGTTTACATTATTAATTTAATCAACTGACACTTTAAAGAATAGAAGGTGAACTTCAGACTTTTAACTTAAATTACATTTAGTGGTTACAAATTAAACTTTGAGATGTTTCCCTTATTAAAATAGTATCATATGCTGTGTTTTAGTGATTACAAAGTATTTTCTTACATGTGGACCCCTTTTGTCCTCCCAATAACCTTATGAGGTGAGCAGGAAAGTTTCCTTATCTCTGGTTTACAGATGAGAAAATGAAGAGTCTAAGGAATTAGGTTGCTTATATGAGGCCGTACAGTCAAAGATCAGTCAGTTCATTCTTTTTTGATTCTTCAGAGATTTACTCCACTTTTAATGATAGGGAACTAAACCACAACAAATGCTAGGCATGCAAAGTGGATAATTATATCCATTCTTTCTCTCCTTCGTTTATTCTTTCATTTCTTTATTCATTCATTTTTATAATTAGAGATTGCTACTATCCCTGGAATATAACAAATATCCCATTAGGGTGCTTGGAATGAATGGAAAGGGGGGGAAATGGAATAATTTACTCTATGTAGTGCAGTAAAGGTATGTTGCTTGTTCATATTGCCACTGACCCGACACTGTGCCATACATAAAATCCTCTGAAGTAGGGCAAGTAACAAGAGAAACAATCTCACTTTATCAACTTTTTCTTCTTCAGGCAAGTCTGTAGCAGGTACTGGAGCAACTGGCAACTTTTAAGTGTTCAGATGGCCATTACTGTCCACTCCAAAAACCCTCACCTTCTGCCTTGCTCTTCTAAGGCTTCTGTTCTCATATTAGCACCCTGGTCCATTGGTCCATTCTCTGTAGTCTTCCTCACTCCTTTTTTCTCTGCTTCTATCTCTTAGCTTCTTTATTTCCTCCTTTTTTCCTCTTTCTCTTCCTTTTTCTTCTTTTCCTCCTTTCCTATTCCCCCACCCTCTCCCTCTCTCTTTCATTTTTTGTATAGTGGGAAATTAAAGACGGAGTAGCATGACTGAAGTTAGACATTTCCACAAAATAATGACCCAGGATTGGCTCCATTGAGTTTTAAGACATGCCATGTGTACGTCAGGCCAAAGTCCATTTTCCACATGTAATAGGAATATTGCTAAAAACGTTTGGAGGGCTGAACTTTCCAGATGATTGACATAAGTATCTACTTTACGGTTTGTATTTTTCTTCTATATTAAGGACCTGTCTAAGGAGAATCAAGTATAACTCAATAAAACACTAGTTTCTCTTTTGCTGAATAGAATATCAGAAGACTACCTTCATTAACGTTACCAGGAGGGAGTTTTGGACTCAATATAATAACTCTGGAACAATATCCCTGCTGCTGCTGCATGTCAGGTGCTTAGCAAGTCCATTCCTAACTGGCTTCATTCCTAAGTGGACTCTATGCTTCTCTAATTCCTCAGACCCATCATTCTTTCCAAATACTGGTCCCCAAGAGTGATTTTTCTAAAAAAATCAGATTTTGTGAATCCTCTATTTAAAATGTCAGTCTTCTATTTAAAATGTCACTTGGTTCCTTGTCAGCAATGAGGTATGGTATGAACTCCTTCTCTTGATGTATCTAGTCCTTTGTGACAGCCCAGTCATCTTTTTAGGCCTGCCTGCAACTCCCTCCCTGACTTTATACCTCTCCTCTTCCCTGGGACATCTCTGCACTTTTGCAATGTATCCTTTACCCTCTTCTTACACCTCATATGGTGGTGGAAATGGAGGGAAGAGGATATATTTGAAGGGTACTTCCCAGGTCCCAAATCCATGAATCCTTCATCTATTTTAGGAGTAAAAATCTCTGTTTGCTTTGTGTGTTCCTGCATTAGCCTTGCCACATCCTGTCTTGCATTGCAATGATTTTTTTATGTGTTTATTTCTTTCCTGGCCTATGAGTTTATATCTTATTCACTACCCTTTCAGGGTACGGAGCTCAGTGCTTGGCACATTCTTGCTGTTCGGTAATAGGCAGGCACTAAGTTGTTGAATTGAATTCTTCTGTGTGCCTTGAGTTGGAATGTTCTAAGGCTAATAAGATCCCCTCAGTCCTCATGAGTCAGCCCTTTGTATCACAGGTTGAGTTTAGCGAGAAACAAAAGTTCAAAATTCATTTTCTCATAAGTTAGAACTTCTGACCAAGACATCATTTCAGAAACATAGCACAGAAATGCTGAGAATTAGAGCATTTCTTTGCATCTATAGAAAATGTGTGACTCCGTTTTTTTTTTTTAATTTATTTATTGAACTTTAGGTGCATACTATATTTGGCATTTCTCACCATCTTATCCCTCCCCACCCCCCACTCCCTCCCCACCCCCTGCTGTCTCTCCCCTATCCCCCCAACTGCCCCCCAGTGTGTGAGTCCACATGTTCTCATTGTTCAACACTCACCTATGAGTGAGTACCTGTGGTGTTTGGCTTTCTGTTCTTGTATCAGTTTGCTGAGAATGATGGTTTCCAGATTCTTCCAAGTCCCCACAAAGGACACGAACTCATTGTTTTTTATGGCTGCGTAGTATTCCATGGTGTATATGTACCACATTTTCTTTGTCCAGTCTATCATTGATAGGCATTTGGGTTGGTTCCAGGTCTTTGCTATTGTACACAGGGCTGCAGTGAACATCTGTGTGCATGTGTCTTTATAGTAGAACGATTTACAGTTTTTTGGGTATATGTCTAGTAATGGGATTGCTGGGTCAAATGGAATTTCTATTCCTAGATCCTTGAGAAATCACCACACTGTCTTCCACAGTGGTTGAACTAATTTACACTCCCACCAACTGCGTAAGAGGTAAAAGTGTTCCTGTTTCTCCACGTCCTCTCGAGCATCTGTTGTCTCCAGATTTTTTAATGATTGCCATTCTAACTGGTGTGAGATGATATCTCAATGAAGTTTTGATTTGCATTTCTCTAATGACCAGTGATGATGAGCATTTTTTCATATGTTTGTTGGCCTCATAAATGTCTTCTTTTGTAAAGTGTCTGTTCATATCCTTCACCACTTTTGAATGGGGTTGTTTGTTTTTTCTTGTATATCTGTTTTAGTTCTTTGTAGATTCTGGTTATTAGCCCTTTGTCAGATGGATAGATTGCAAAAATTTTTTCCCATTCTGTTGGTTGCCGATTCACTCTAATGATGGTTTATTTTGCTGTACAGAAGCTCTGAATTTTAATTAGATCCCATTTGTCTATCTTGGCTTTTATTGTCATTGCTTTCAGTGTTTTGTCATGAAGTCCTTGCCTATGCCTATGTCCTGGATGGTTTTGCCTATGTTTTCTTCTAGTGTTTTTATGGTGTTAGGTTTTATGTTTAAATCTTTAATCTATCTGGGGTTAATTTTAGTGTAAAGTGACAGGTAGGGGTCCAGTTTCTGCTTTCTGCGCATTGCTAGCCAGTTTTCCCAATACCATTTATTAAACATGGACTACTTTCCCCATTGCTTGTTATTGCCGGGTTTGTCAAAGATCAGATAGTTGTAGATGTGTGGTGTTTCTTCTGGGTCCTCTGTTCTGTTCCATTGGCCTATGTCTCTGATTGGTACCAGTACCATGCTGTTTTGATTACTGTGGCTTTGTAGTATAGTTTGAAGTCTTGCAGTGTGATGCCTCTGGCTTTGTTCTTTTTGCTTAGGATTGTCTTGGGTATGCGGGCTCTCTTGTGATTCCATATGAAGTTTAAAGTGTTTTTTTCCAGTTCTGTGAAGAAGGTCATTGGTAGCTTGATGGGGATAGTGTTGAATCTATAGATTACTTTAGGCAATATGGCCATTTTCAAGATATTAATTCTTCCTAACCATGAGCATGGAATATTCTTCCATCTGTTTGTGCCCTTTCTTATTTCATTGAGCAGTGGTTTATAGTTCTCCTTGAAGAAGTCCTTTACATCCTTTGTTAGTTGTATTCCTAGGTATTTTATTCTCTTTGTAGCAATTGTGAATGGTAGTTCGCTCTTGATTTGGCTCTCTGTTAGTCTGTTATTGGTATATAGGAATCTTGTGATTTCTGCACATTGATTTTCTATCCTGAGACTTTGCTGAAGTTGCTTATAAGTTTGAGAAGATTTTGGGCTGAGACAATGGGGTCTTCTAGACAGATACAATCATGTCATCTGCAAATAGAGACAGTTTGACTTCCTCCTTTCCTAGTTGAATACACTTTTTTCTTTTTCTTGCCTGATTGCTCTGGCTAGAACTTCCAATACTAAATTGAATAGGAGTGGTGAGAAAGGGCATCCTTGTCTAGTTCCTGATTTCAAAGGGAATTCTTCCAGCTTTTGCTCATTCAGTATGACATTGGCTGTAGGTTTGTCATATATAGCTTTTATCATTTTATGATACATTTCATCAATACCTAGTTTATTGAGAGCTTTTAGCATGAAGGGCTGTTGAATTTTGTCAAAGGCTTTCTCTGAATCTATTGAGATAATCATGTGGTTTTTGTCTTTGGTTCCATGTATGTGATGGATTACATTTATGGATTTGCGTATATTGAACCAGCCCTGCATCACCAGGGTGAAGTCTACTTGATCGT